CGTGACCACGCTTGTATTCTGTGAAATTGTACAAGTGCGCGTTTTTGTAGTTTTTCGTATTCAAACAAAAAAACGATTATGCAATTGATGAAATACGTAGTGTTATAATGGAAGGAAAATAAAGGTACAAAACGCCACACATCGTTTACGAGATGTTATGTATGAACGCAATTTTCAAAAGGACTCGGGATTAACACAAAGGCGTCCTCACGTCAAACCAAGGTCACTCAGATTATTTACAGTGAGCGAGTCCAGCTCACATCCCGTGCGCCCTGATCCAGAATCCAATTACTCAACTGTAACTCAAGTTAGGAGACTGCGCTGGCCAAACTGCCAACAGTAGGCGTTGGTGGAATGAAATTAGCCGTGCAAACAGTTTAGGCCGGCGACAGACATCCATGTTGTTAAGCCCTGCTTCAGGTGGAAACAAGCGACACGGATAGGGGGTCAGGTAGGGGACAGAGTTAACAGGGCCGGCACTCCACTTACCAGCCCACACAGCTGAGCTGTGGGGGTATTCAGTCGAATTTACTACTTCGGTCAGCAAGACTGTGAGCGAACTGTCTATGTTCCGTCAGAATGTACTTGAATGCACTTGAACATACCAAGTGGCTCCCAACCAAATAAGATGTAACGTAAACGATCAGTAAAAACAACGTATTTTCAGAGAAGCTCTCAAGTGCTCCTGGGAGCGAGAAGCCTTGTTTCAAGGAAGTTCAGTCCTGCTGCTGTTTGTCATGATTTGGGAAGTAGAGCAAACTTCAACTCTGGTTCTTGTCCAGATTAGATGGATGTCTGGTCTAGTGATGGATGACCTGACATTCAACTTGTTTAAAGTCAAATCAAGGTCAGACAGTTGTTTAGGTAGGTACTCTCGTGGTTGAGTTTCTAGCCTTCGGTCAGATCTGCTAATGTATGTATCCACGCAGCTGCAGGTAAATTGATCAATTCAATGGCTGAGTGACTGACCTGACGCCGGCCATTTGGTCAGTGGCGACGGTGCAACCTCCGCATGACCTTTGACGAGCTTTAAAGTGCACTGCAATGTACGTGTATGGATGTATGTATGTATGTATGTATGTATGTATGTATGTATGTATGTATGTATGTATGTATGTATGTATGTATGTATGTATGTATGTATGTATGTATGTATGTATGTATGTATGTATGTATGTATGTATGTATGTATGTATGTATGTATGTATGTATGTATGTATGTATGTATGTATGTATGTATGTATGTATGTATGTATGTATGTATGTATGTATGTATGTATGTATGTATGTATCTATGTATCTCTGTATATGCACTAATGTGGTTCACACACAAATCCATCAGACACTGTGTTCTTTTGATGTACAATCACTTTTTACCTAAGTATCTCCCCACAGAATCTGTTAACTTTTAAGGTTTCTAGGAGAGACTTACGCAGGCTTGGATGATCCACCCATTACTATTCTCAGGGACCTCATTTTGCACCAGGAATATCAAACAATTCGCGAAATGCAGTCATTTGCAACTCAAGTTGAAGTCAACCGGGGAGACTCAACTGGGTCCGAGCTGAGTCCATCGTTCCTGTTATGCTTCAGCTTCTTGGAATAAAAACCACTCCATATTTCAGTTGGTGCGATATTCGAGTTATCGCACAAGGCTGCTGAAAATGCTTCAACAACGCACGACCGAATTCGCCTTTCTTGGAGCTAACGAGCTGGGCGCAGTCTCTCATATTCCCTCAACTTTATCACAAATGAGAGTTTCAGATGTGATTCATTTGAGTCCCTCGTTGAAACCAAAGTGGTGTGCAAGTGATCCTATCTCTCGAATTTCGTACAATTTGGATTCAAGCAGAACAAACAATGTTGAAGGGAACCTGGGAGACTGTGCCTACCTGATGACACGGAGGATTCGATGAACACTAAGAAACCCTGAGTAGATTCCTTCTAGAAAATATGCTACGCTATCACAGATATTGTAACAAACGAAGCAAAGTGTGGCCGAATATCATAAACGAAGTATTAGGCTGGGATTCAGCTGAATCTTCCGTTAACGTCGATTTGATTCGCAAATTGGTGTACTTCACCAAGTGCTGTTTTTTCCGGCCGGTTACCCAGATTTATCCCGCTTCCTTTCTTTAAGTCTTCTACCAAGCCATGCGGTATTCTTATTCCCTGATCGGTTCAGCCTCTAAAGAGTGGAAAATGAACTGACATTCGTATCTTGTTTGACTGATTTTGGAAGGTGTTTTGGACAGTAAGATGGGCATTCTAAAGTATAACCTTGGAACCTATGTTCGTTTGCCCCAATGCCTGTTAGATAGCCATAAAATACAGCATATCTGAAGAAGTATGAGTGAAATTCATAATATGGTAATTGTTTCCTTCAATCACGTGAAGATCATAAATTCTAAAGAGTCAACTGATATGCATCCGCTTTTAACAACCAACCCATCCTCACAGCTTTCACTATTTCAAGCAACCAAGCTCCCAATACAGTTGTCACGGGCTGAAAACTGGGACATCCCGGAACAAGATGAGACGCCCGTCTTGGATGACGCTGACCTGTTTAAGAAGGGATACAGTGAGGAAGAACTGGAAATGGTCAGTGAAGACGGAACGCTTGTCGAAAGTGGTGAGCTAAGTCTTATTCATCCGGCAGGTTCCATCGGCGATATTGGTTCAGTCAGACCCTTGCTGCCAATAAGACTACCAGAATGGGCCCTGGAATCGGGGAAGCCAGAACGTGGGTTTCTAGTTTTTTCCCTGAGCATCAAACGACAACCGAATTCTACCGTACCGAAGTGTTTAGTTGATGTTCGTGTCCTCGAGGCTCGATGTGTGCTTAGCCGCTACACGGAACCAAGAGCGGGTAAATTCTACGTGAAAGCCCGGGTTCAGCTAGCGGGTGAGTCTCAAGTCACACTTTCTGTGTATTACTTTTAATCGTGTTGTCCTACTGTTTTCCACGGAAAGCTAAGTTTCGAGGCAGACTTTCCTCTAAACTGGTTCATTTTGGATGTCATGTTAATGTTGAAGATCATTGGAACGCTTATGAGATGACCGGCTCAACAAAGCCTGAATACATCGTTGACTTTCGGGCGGTAGACCTCACTAATATCGCCATGTAAAAGTGATGTTTTACTCAGAGATTCACTGCGATTTTCCCCTCAAGTTAACGAGGGGGTGCGAGTATCATGTCCGTTTATTTGACAGAAATCGGTTTGAACTAAGCGGAACGGGGCAAGCACAAATCAGAACAACATACCGTGGAAGGCCTTATTCAAAAGGTGCACATTAATCATCCTCGTTCAGATTGATTGCCGAGGTTGATCACATGATTTACGTGACCTGAATGCTTACTTCGTCGGTGCATTTCGAACATATTGTGCACTCCGAACGTAGTCGGAGAGGGGATAAGACCTCAGTGCGTGTGTATGCACGCGAAAAAAACTGGCTGGTTTCGCGTGTTGTGTGGAAATTTGATGAGCAGTGGTACTGACAGCACCGAGGCTAATTACTAAGTAGACGATTCAAAAGTAGAACTCAAAAGCTACGGTTGTTGCAAAGGGAACGTCAAACTCCTGGTGAATCCTTTGAACGAGATGCTTCAATGGCGTCTTATTAATAGGATAGCTCTGAACTACCCTTAAATGGTCACACGATCATTTGAACTGCCTTTCAGTTTGATGTTTTCCATCAAACTGATATCTACTTGCAGCTATTTTTCATATGAGGAACAAATCACGCAGTAAGAAAGCGCGAAAGATGGAATACTGTCAGGTCGCCCAAGCCTAGACAGGAGCACTCAGATCCCGCAGTTGGGTTCCAAATATGGAATTTCCCGTTAGTAAGTTCGCTCCTTAACCCCGTAGTTATCCCGAACTCGGCTAATGACCTTAAAGTCGTCCAACGTTGCAGCTCGACCTACAAACCATTTGGAATCTTCAAACTCGGATCCGCTGACCTGAGATACAAATAATGGGACTAGATGGGAAAATACTTTTCGTCATTCTATTGTCGATCACCATTCAGTGATTCGGTTTCCTTAATGTAAGTCTTACGGCTGTACTTTGGTCGGCCAACAACCACAAGGTAGTAGAGATTGTCGACAAATGGCACAATGTACACGACAGAGTCCAATCGCTTACTAGTGTTGAACTCTCGTAGAATGACATGAGTCATTTACAGGCGAACCCGTGACTTCCTGGCAAGTAGTTTGAACGACAACAGATCGGCTACGGTTGCTTGATCAACGGTGTGACGAACTCGCACCTAGGATGTGATGCCACGTGGTCCCCATCACGTGGTCACTTGTTGACTGGCTTAACAAGTGATGACTTCTCAGATGAAAGGTTTACTTGTGTTGTGAATTTATTCCTCCTTCGAGCTACTTGTAGAATGATGGTGGCATGAGGAAATTTGAAACCGTCAACTGGGTATTTGTCCTTTAGTGGTACTAGTGAAAGGAAGGAGGCCTTCGCTGCGGAGTTATTCATTAGAAAATGCCAACTGACCAGTAACAGACTATTGGACAGGGAAGCAAAACTCTCATTTGCATCTTATTCACAAAAACTGGACATCCATCTTCTCCTGAACGCGCCTTCTTGAACTTTCCTGGATAATCATTGACTCCAATCATTCGTTGCTTAAATCCAAGCAAATGCCACAGAGTGACTCCACACATTCCGCAACAGATCTCCCCTTTTCAAGAGACGCAAAGCGAAATTCCAAGAACAACACCTACTACTCGCATGCCTCCCCATCAGTAGCATCACCGTTACATTAGTAGTCGATAGGTCGGGGGTCGGAAAATCACTGAAGTTCTCTTGACATATCCACTGCTGATCATCCCCAGAAAAGACAAAAAAGCTGTACGGTGCTGCGCAGCTTTTCAGTACACATTGACTTCACTTACAGGTCGGTATCTCGATTGAAGATATTTTTTCTAGAAGTGTGCGATAATTTACGACTGCGAAGACTAATTCTATTCACAGATCTATTAATATCCTTACGCTACATTGACGTTGCTTTCGAAATGTTTGATGCAGATATGAATTTATCAACGAATCCTTCATTCTCGAACAGTTTACAGTTTGTTTTGGAACTGTGTAGTGGTTATACGTGGCTATCGTAATTTGGTTTGCCACCCTTGGTATCTGGTTTGGTTTGTCAGTTGGCCTTTTTTCTGTTGTATTAGATGTCGTGTGTTGTGTAACACTTCAAGGTCATCCAGGTGTACTTAAGGACCCAACTGTGACTCGTATTAGTACTCTGGACATTGCGGGGCGTTAAACTAAATATGTATAACAATAGTTCGGTTGTAGCATCTTTTCGGTATTTAGCTACAATGCCAGAGGGCACGAAGATTAAGGTGAAGCCAGATTGACCAAGCCCAAGTCGTGAAGATGCAACTGTTGGAGTCAGACCGCGAACCAGCCAATCAGTAATATTTTCGCTCCTTGACGAGTGAACTATCTCGAGCGGTGCTAACTGTAATCACCATTTGTACGGACCAGACTGGTTATCGGAGTGTACTAGCGGGTCATATTCGTGTGCCTCGAGTACTTCTTACGAGTGGTTTAGTCTTTGGAGCTCCGAGTTCTTCATGCCCAATGGATTTCGGCTGTCCAAATGTTCAATTATGATTTGATCACGGCCATGCGGATGGTCTAATAGACACCTCATTCTACTCACCCTTCAGTTTCATTTTGTTAGGTCTACACCGAACAACGGACGAGCTGTACCGGGCATCACCCATTCTGCACAGGTGCCCGTGAGTTTAGTTGCATGTGGCAGGCAAATCCGGATTAGGATATCAGTCCACTAAGTGCCGAATTTGGTGCTAGACACTCGAGGGGTTCTGGGAGCCTGTTTTCATGCAGTTCCTAGGTTGGTATGATTACATTCTGTCGTATGAGACAGATGACGTTTTCCTCATTTTCATGAATATCTGATATGACATTCCAGCATAAAGCAGGAATCATCATTGTTTTCGAAAAAGTTTGGTGACAATCGGTGGATTTATTGCTGGGCAACGTTTCGCTTTTGACACATCATTCTTTTCATCTGACCAGGGACCAGTGCCTCTCCGTCAATGTTCTCCTTGGACCAGATTCATTCGGCTCCAAAGAGGTTCATTACCGATCGATTCCACCTCTCCTCATCCAACCGTTCTTCAGTGGAGAGCTGTGGCAGTACTTTCGTCAGACGGGCCTTCAGATCACCTGTATTTTGGCAAGCGATAACATTGGGGACTATGTTGCCCGATTATTTAACTAAACAGGAAGATGCAGGTCAAACAGGAGTCTCTCTCCAATCAATTAATCAACTTGAGCTGAGGCTAGATTTGAAGGAACGCAGTGCACTCAAGAAAGACGAGCTTTACGGGGGCAATTCTGGACTGACACTTCCATCCTGGAAGCATTCCAGTCTACTGGGCTCCGTAAGGGTACCGCTAATTCCGGAAATTTGGAGCTACTTCCTTAAACCGCCTGAGGACGCTCGTTCAAGACCCTTGAGACAGTCCACACTCGTCCCTGAGGATGAGCTGGACGTCACTATAACTGATGAAGGGAAAAATCACGACGAATCCTGCAATAAACCCCGCGTGTTGCGGTTCGTACGTCAACTCGAGCTTCCACCGGAGGTGAGTTTGAGTCATATTTTCTGTTCTTTATAAGAAGACTTCACAAGACTTTGTGCGAGCGAAGGTAGTCAATTACAGCCAACCTCGGTCAACATACTCATCAACACGCACGTTAATTACTACAAGTACGGTGTTTTGGTAGCTTTGTCCCAAAGCAAACATTATTTCTAATGAGGTTTCCTTTCCCCCCATCTGCTTCACTTGGTTTTCCATAGAGATTCTTGGAGGACGTACGCGTAATCTCATTTGGACACTGTAATTCATGTAGATTTAAAAGAGTTAGTCTCAGACAAAGCCAGTGATTATACACTCATTTACAAACTAATTTGGTTTTTCGAGAGACTCACCTGGAACCCAGCTGAATCTCTCGTTTGTGATGTTCTCAGGCAACTGAATGTGCTGCACCAGGCCGTCTCATGTTTCAGTCGCTACGATATTCGAGATATCGTGATACATGAGTAGTAGATTACAGAGAAAACCAGCGACATTTACATCATATCCAAATGGCTATCGTTGAGTTACCCAGCTTGATTCGTCGTGCGGTGCAACTCGAGTAATAGAAATAACGAATGGTCACTTGCAATACCATTCCGGTGCCCACTGGTCACGTCAACCGAAGCAAGCACGAAGGTTGAACTATTGCCCGGGTACCCTGGCCTAGACAGAAGCAATCGAAATGCAGAGGTTGGGTTCGGATCAAGGAACTTGTGGTCAGGGATTAACCTTAACCTTAGCCTTAACCACCAAGCTATCTCAAGGTCAAATCAAATGCTTACGATAGGATAAAAGCCAGCCGAAATAGCGTTCCTATTTCAAGCACTTTGTTCTACCGGTGCAGACACCGAACCATACTTTTGTATGATTTTTTCAGAGAATCAGACTAGACACTAACTATCGTAAAGGAAAATACATTAGACTGTTGTGGAATCCGTTTGCAAGAAAATAGGATATACTCACCGAGGAGGAAGAGGTACAGATGAAGAGGCTAACGCCCTCGTCAACAAACTCTCTGTTAAGCGACTTTGATCATAATCGCAGCTGGCAATTGTTAAATGAGACAGGAGTTAAGGGAAAAAACCAGTCCAAAATACACAACCTTTTTAAAGTGCACTTTGATTTGATTAGTTATGCTTTCTACGAAGGCAAGTGTTTTCTACCCAACCCTTCAGAATGATCTGGTCCCTGCGCAACCTGCCAAGTTTTTGGTTAAGCGAGCTAATCACAGGAACCCTGAAACATATTCAAATATTTCTGCCATTCAAATTTCATATTTTCTTGAACTAGGCACAAACATTCCAGTGATATCTTCTTCCTTTATGGCTGTACTTACAGAGAACCGCAAGCAAGTTTCAGAACAATCCTAGGTCCTGTTGACTGCGGTGGCGTCTCAAATCTTCTTGAGCAAAAAAGAAATCAAATGCGGCTCAGTTAAGGTCTCGGACAACAAAACGCGTCCAAAGTGCAATGTTTCACCAAATTAGGTAATTTGACTCACACTTTAGTGTACTTCTGTGAAAGTATAGACTCATAAGCTCTAATCTAACATGCGTATCTGCACTGATTCGCTTCTGCTCATGTCCAAACTAACGTTTGCATCAATGGTCTCTGAATGAATGCCTGTTATCACTGCTTTATCCCAGCAGCCACCACTGTAGTTCTGAGTAGAGGATAACATTTGAGAACACTTTTCCACCTGAATGACCACTGCCCTCTTGGATGCCTGTCTTGTGGGGCAGTATAATTCTAATAATGAGCAGTTTGAGACAGGGGCATTTCATGCTCTGCTGAAAGGGAAATTTTCGTCAAAATCGTGAAGATACAGCATTTGGTTTTTATCTCCCCATTCTGCTGATGTCTGCTGATAATTTCGGAATTCGGAACACTCCAAAGTCCCAATGAAACGCCTCTGTTTAGATTGTACCAATTAACCTAGGATTATATGTATATATGTATATAACAAAAACAGTGCGAAAAACAACTGAGTATATTTGTCGGAATCAGTTCAATTTGAGTTCAAGAAGAACATAAATTTGATGGAAATTCGGAGACTGCACCTACCTGGTAAGTTCCAAGACCGGCTAAAACGGTTGTGGGCTGTTGACGAGTTTTCAAAAAACCTTGTATGAAAACCCTTCTGGTCATGCAATGTTGTTGCTAACATGTTGGGATTACTGAGACAAATCCTTCGTTTATCAGAATGTGAGGATGCAATACTGTTCGCATTTTTTCAGGATGCTGAAGATCGTGGAGACCTGACGATTGGGATGCAGTACAATCCAGAAACTACAAAGTTGACTCTCAATCCTCTGAAGTGTACTGGTATCCATCTACCAAGGGGAGCAAGTGAGTTTCCAAGCCATTGATTCGACGTTCAATCGATCGATCGCACTTAGTTTCATCTACGACTTGAACTCAAGTAGTAACATAATACGGCCTAGGGATGCGTAGATTATTCTTTGTTTTTTTTGCGCTATGCTCTGACAGAAATACTTTCCTGAGAGGAAGATGTCAGAATAAGTTGTTTTCGTTGGTGACGTTACTGAAAATGAATAGATCAGATGTTGAGATATTACCTGAAAAGTGGTCATAGAATGAAAGTTTATCCGCACAAAGCAACTTCTTCGGATGACCACGCTTCCAAAGTATATAGGCTCATATTCGTACTAAACGCGACCGTCACTATCAGTTTTTGAGCTAGCCATTCTCATATCATTTTCAGTTTTTTGCTATACGAAAAAGTACCATTTACCCAAAAGAAAACAACGACCGGCGTCGAGACCCTCTCCCTGAGTTGCACTCAGTTCCAGGTCTATTGTGAAGTTCTTTCGGGTATGTTTCAGGCATAAAACAAGTAGCCAGGACTGAGGCTTGGTTACCTAAACACCTTTCTGATGATTATCTCTTAAAGAAACTTGAATGATTTTCTCTTTTCTGTCGAAACTATAGAAAGTGTCTTCCTGGTGGCCACGCTGGCTTCGAATCGGAAAATTATCTCCACACAACAGTCAAATCAGTCTGCTAGACTGAACATGAACGCGGTTGAGTTCCTGCTCGGCGAACGCTTGCAATTCGTTGTAGAGGAACATATGAGTCAAGTTTGTTTGATACTCAGCGTGTTTGCCCGCTCCGGTAGACGGATCAACGAGACGACTTCGCTGATTGGTCGGTGTGTCGTCGGCCCCGATGGCTTGGCCTATGGTCAGGGGCTTTCACAATGGCTGGCAATCACCAAGCAGCGTGGTATGGTCAAGCGTACGCATGTCTTGTTCTAAAATTTTCATACATCTGTTACAAAAGTTTCACCATAACTGTCCCAATCCATTGAAAACGTTTAATAATATAGACCGTTTTTTTTCTGGAACCGCCTTTGTTTCTGTTGCGCACTAATACGGGTGGCAACGGAAGTGAATCTGAGCCAAATTAACGCCTGGGTTCCCTGCTCAGTTGGCCAGTGATCCACTCCGAGTAACTCAAATAAATCTCGAGGACCCTCATCTCAAAAAAATAATACTTTAAGAATCCTTTGAATTTAAAAAGCGTTCAGCTGTAGCACCCTTCCGGTGCCTAGCTGCCATGCCACCCGAAGGGAGCACGAGGGCTGGGATACTGCCAGGTTGCCCAAGCCTAGACAGGGGAAGTCGAGTGGCGGAGGTCGGATTCGAACCGCAGACCTTCAGGTTAGTAATCCGCGCTCTAACCACTTCGGCCATCTCGCCCCCTTTGAATTTAATATCAAAGTAGGTATCTAATATGAAAATCTTTGATTGTTGGTCTCTTCGCTGAACTTGGCGGTTGGATCGCCAATCGACGTGACATTGTCAGTGCGAGTTGAGTCGGTAACTCTCGATCTCCAATTCAACCCGCACTGACCATGTCACCTCGATTGGTGTGACGTTTCCAATCCAACTGCCAAACTCAGAAAACAGTCCAACAACCAAGTAGCGAACCCGAGCTACTTATTTTCCTCTATATTGCCGACACAAAAGTGTAGTCAGATCTCGGAAAGTTCAACCATATGAGCTCTTTCTTTGTTACTGAGCCTCATGAGGTGGCCTTCGAGAGATTTGGTAGATGCCCCCCTGAACCATGCATGGGTAACCACCTGTTACTCAAAGGATCACATGTCCGACCGATCTACGCCCCCTGATAATGATGAAGGCGCAGATTCGATCACACCTTTACGGTAGACATCGAGTGAAATTCCAAGTTGATGGCTTGAGAATTGTCAAGCCACTTGCAATGATGGGCCACTAATCAGGAAAAACCGTTCCCAAGTGGTCATATGCCTGTCCGTTTAGTGAGCAGCTGGTTAGACAAAGAATTGCACCTGACTGATACTAATTTGACAGCATAATAATTTGCTTACTCTGTCCGCGTACTTTTGATCTCCACATGCCTTGTCCCTCCGTACCCGCCATTCAACTTTCTGCAAAGACCGTCCCGTTCGACACTGTCATACAAGCATGTGTGCCCATGCCCCGTCTGCTATGCCTGCTCTGACCTGTTCTGACAAGATCTCCGTGCGATCTCATCGCTATTCAGAATCACTAGACTGGCCTGAGAAGCGACTACCGCAATCCGTACTGCCGAGCCAGCATTCGGCTCACCGCCGTCTGCTTTGCGGACTTTGACACCGAGCTGTGCCAGTTAGTGAAAGACTTGCACACTTATTGGCGCCACGAACGTGGACATATGAGGTTTGTTGGTAATGTGATGGAATATTGATAGCTCGGGTGCATTAGTTGGTAATTGATCAGGTGGCTGCTGATCTGTTCGCCGAGCTTGTCAATCGATTTGCGAACGTTTCGTCACCTTCAGTGAGCTGCTGGTGCGCAACCAACAGCGCACTGAAGGTGACGAAACGTTCGCAAATCAATTGCCAAGCTCGGCGAACAGATCAACAGCCACCTGATCAATTACCAACTGAACTTTGTTATGTAACTTTGCTTACCTTTCTGTAATTGCTATCGCAGACTTTCGAACTGAATCCTTGCTTTTGATACTGGATATCGTCAAAACTACGTGTGACTAGAAATTCCGTATCGGGAACCCCAGTACACCCAAAAAGTCGAACCGGGTCATTCGAATCTGCTCGAGCTTCATGGTCGCTGAATATCTGACCAAAGGAGAATTTCTAATTGAGAAAATTCCATCGACCTAAAGGGTAGCAGTGATTAAGTGTATAAGGCTTTAAGCGAGCACTACTCAGAGAGCATCGACAGTGTCATTAGAGAAGAAAGACTCTTTTGAAGGAGAAAGAATTTCCTGTAGAAAAGTCGGAGCAGAATGCTTTTTTAACCGGGTCCCTAGTATGTAAATAAACCAGACCACGGAAGTGTGCTTCGCTCCTTTTCCTTCAAACTAGAGAGGTGCGGTTTAATTGCTTCATTTGGGGATAAATATTCGATGCCGATGATCTCGTCTGCCCTTGTCCAGAGGCGCCAGGTTAAACAAGATCTTGTTTGCATTATCAGTGCTGCTTTGTGTCTGCAGAGCAGACAACTATGCTGTAACTGAACACCCACTTACCCTTGACAAACGCAAATTGTTTTTGCCCGGAGGCCCTTTACATATGTGTACGGTCTGTGCATAAATCCAGCACTGTCAGTTGGCTGTCAGGTGGGGGGATTGGGAAGGGAGCTATGCATTGAAGGCAACAGCTTGGATGCACGAGCGCCATTGAGGGCACGACTGGGCCATGTCTGACAATGTCTCTAACCATTGACGTGGACCGTCTCGGGGTCCCCATCCAGGAAGACGGTAATGACCAGCGCAGCTACCTACCTGCCCCCAAATCATCGCTGAACGAAAAATGCGGCAGCTACAACCACTGTACGACGAGTACGCGGTTATTACAGCTGACAATGATGATGATGTACGGTCTGTGCTATGAAATGAACTCACACAATTTTGTCTTCTTGTGTTGTTGACAGGCCAGTCCAGATTCTGATGAGGCATTGTACACGATAAACGACGTCGATTGATTGCGCAAAGAGCACTCGTAAGTATCATTCGTATTTGTGACCACTTGTGAGTGGGTAAGTACTATGGGTTGGTTAAGCGCGGGGCTCGTGTACTCGGTCTAACCGCATTACGTACCCACCTCATTGCGCGAAGAAAAGACAAGCGGCTTGACTAATTGACAAGCCGGATGAACAGCCTACCAACCGTAAGACATCGGTGCGTCAACAGTTCGAAGTCAGCCATTCGTCTGAAAGTTCACGCAACTTAAGTGAATTTGGTGAAGAGAACACGCAGTTTCCCTTGTCCAATCTATGCGATTGAAGAATAAAACAAGGGGTTTAATTGAGTACCCTTATCTGAAAATGAATTCTTATCTCCACATTAGTCCAAAAAACATTGGTAGAACCGTCTAGGAGGAACCCACCACTCATCAGGTTGTTGAAAGCTGTTCGAAAACCTGCGAACGGTTTCATCTTTCTTGGGGCGCATCAGGTAGGTGCAGTTCTCGAGTTTCCGTCAAACTTATGTTCTACATGGACCCAAATTGTACGAAATTCGACAAATGCACTGATTCGAGCACTAATATGGTCTTGGCGGGAGAGTGAACCGGACCCAAGCGGAATATGTCATTTATGGGCGTTCCTGTGTGACAGTTTGACACGCGCGATGGACTGGCGTATAAAACATGAATTATCGGCGGCTAGCGTGATCTCCTGTCGGTGGACCGTTCGTTGGCTTCGACGCCAAATGTCAGGACCGGGAATGGCTCGAACAAGTTTAGTGCGGAGATTATAAAAGAACTCCTCGCAGGACACTTGTGTTGCAATCCAGCGGTTGTTCTTTCAGTGCATTTCAGTCCTCACGCTGTTATACGTCGAAGTATGTGAATTCGTGAACAGAATAGGTCAAGCAAGAAGTCAGATGTCCTTGAATTTTGCGCACTAATATGGAAGTTGTAATATCTAATAGCCGTATTTGTTGATTATGATCAATAGATACAGGTGGTTGTCCGCTAGTAAGGGCTATGCATTTATTTCAGTTTGAAGTGGATGTTAAAAACCGAACGTATTACCTGGGAGAAAAGCACGCAGTTTTTGGGTAATCTACGTTCCAAATTCTGTGTTGAACGTAAACGGGGACATTCAGAACAAATCGAGTCTTTTCACCGTACTTTGAAAACACGGACTCTTTTGCAGATCCTCAATTCAGTTTAATGCTCCCGCAATGGGATGGTGCAAGCGAGCAGAAAGCCTCGATAAGGCATCTGTCGATTGACCTGCCTGCTCGATGACCTCGATCCGGAAGTCAAACTAGGTCAATGAGTCCTAATTATGTGGTTTCAGTATTCGAACAAAACATCCTGTGTATGTTGTAAGGGGATGGTGAACGGTGGGTAAACTAACAGGCACGCGGATCGCGAAGTCGGGTGAATAAGTATTTAATTAAAAGTGCTCCGTGGAATGAGGTGAACATCTTTCAGCTTCCGACTTAGTTAGTGGACCAGGGGAACACAACTAGCTAACTTATACGGACGGAAAAATGTGTCGAATTTCTTCGACGCCTCGTGAACCGTAAGCGACGGTCACTTAAGATGAGGGACACTTGCTCGATAGGTGGAAGCGTCGAACGTTGTGCTTTGCCAGACACTACATTCACGGAGGACACAAAGTGCACTTTGTTTATTCAGCTTAGGGAAGTGTACACACTGCAGGCTGATAAACCAGCCGACAGAAGTGAAGGTATGCGCGAGATCTTGGAATTCATATAGCCACCGTGTCGTACTAAATTATTGAAAAGCGTGACATAGTGCTTGTAGTCATTATTATTTGAGAACTATATGACGGACGTGGCGATATTTATACCTATAAGGCTATGTATATCGTGGGGAAAAGCTGTCACTTCAGTCCTGCAAGCTAGCCCGACCATGTTGTTTAAGGTTGGATCAACAAAGACAACCGAGAGCAACAGCTGTAGTGAAAGGCGGACTGGAAATACTGCTTGCTAGGACAAGAATACGAGGGTAACGTGTTTCTCCCAGGTGTCTGAAAGCCCCATATTCATGGAAGCACCAATGCCGCTCTCCGTCTAGGATAGACGGTTTAGTGAAGCACGGCCATAAAAACCGCATATTCCGATTGCTCACTCAGTGTCTGACCGTGCTAATCGGCGCATTATTCAGTTACTCGGAAGAACATCGAAAATCAGGAGCCTGGTGCTGCTCAAAATGCACCTGCTGTGCCCGGCAGCATTAAAACCAGATAATTACGCCTCAATCCCTGAGTCCTAGAATTAGGATAGCCCACCCCCATAGAGTCGGGTTGTAGAGTCGTTGGCTTTGGTAAAGAGAATCGGTAGGACCTTTGGGACAGCTGAAGGGAACGGAAGAATTGAGAACGAGAAGCTCAGGACCGGGAATGTCAAAATCCTTCTTAACCGGAATGGAAGAAACAGACCCCAAAGGAATACAGCCTTGTTACCAAGGCACTCAAAGCCGTCGCAGTGACCTAGTTTCTCTCAGCGAAACGAAGCTCTTCTCAGACAATATGGCTCTTCACACTGTTTTAGAGATTCCCGACTGTTGAAAAAGGCGCTTGAAGTGCATCCAAGGACATTTTCCAGCTTCACTAATCCTGATTTTTTCTAAAAGATGAGATGGTAAAATGCGACGGAGACCAGTCATGAAGGCAATCCTCATATGACCGAATAATTCACTTCTGACCATTGCCTGGGCCGGTCCGTGCTGTCACTCTGAGAGCCCTTTGAGTAACTCACGCCGTTAATCAGGACATCACATCATCCATCACGGGGATGGATTTCTCAGCATAAATTGAAAATAAATGGGGAGAAGCGCATGAACTTAGCTCACAGGGGACTTTGATCAGTACATACTACTCATTTGATACGTCAGTAGCTTGATTTACTTGACTAAAATTGCATAGAGGGTTCTTCCAGCTGTACTCCAAAGACAGTAGTGGGATAACAAGTCCGAACCTGCTGATAATCTATTTAAGATGGTCCACCTTAGCTATAAGCATCTCTGGTTGATGAGACGAAACGCAGCAAAGGGCCAATAGTTTTGTAGGCGTTTGATGCTAATGGACCGTTACAAGACCCAGTATTATTGGGACAAAGTTTCAAGGGCTGTGAGCATGGATTTCTTCACCTTTCTCCATTACAAACACTGTATCCGTCGAGTTTAGGAAGCCCCTCAGCGACACAGACGCTTTGTAGGTGGACTGAATGATTTTGCATTAACCGGCGTAGTTCAGAGGGTAAGCAAATGGATACACGTGCCCGTTCAATGCCGTGGTCGGAGTTTAGTGGTGCTTCGAAGCTCTCCACCGGCAGCTGATGGTCCAACTGAGTTCACATCTGATCCGCAGTTGGTGGCTCCCAGCTAACACGAGGTGAGTGCTTGTGCTGGAAGTCGCTTCCCATCATGTGCGATGAGGGTCAACCCGAAATCCGTCGTCAAGATGAGCTTCATCAAGGTTTAGTCCGCCTACCTGGGCATTCACACCATCTGCCAAAATCACGACACATGTAGACATCGGTGACTGAAGTGAACTTGACAAGTCTCGAAAAAGCATCGGAGCTGCTGTCCGTCGGAGCGCATGCTGACACAACAAACGAACACCATTTACCACGTCCAAATGGATTGACCTCTTTTTGAACCGTCGACCTAGCAGCGCAAATTTACTGTGAATCTAGTACGCATTCAGCCCTGGGGCTAGGCACAACACTCAAACCGTAGATACTACGTGTCATTGCACCAGGACCACCAGACAATTGAGAAGTGAAAATGCAAATAATTGACAATTAAATGAATCAGAATTCGGTCAAGGACGAAAAGTCAGCAAATGAAGATTTGTAGATGCAATGATACTTTTCGATTGTCCAGGCCGAAGAAAAGGGTGTGGTTGAGGCACACCACCGTCAGCCATTCACTCAAAAGTTTGACCTACAAGGCAGTGAGCGGGAGGATGTGGGATTTTGTTCCGGAACCCTTCCCCCTGCCGCCGATGCAAGTCTGAACTGCAAGGCGCCGGTTATTGAAGTTCTTTTGAGGAAGACTTCCCGGGAGCCAGATTCAAAAGTCTGATCCACTTAGCAGCAGGAGCCTAAAGTGGCCCGAGGGAGCACGGAGTGGTGCGTTACCATATGACTCCTGATACGGCTGCGGTGTCTTTTGAGCATCATCAGACTCTTCAGTTTTCAAAGTATTTCGCCGGCGGTCACGGTCAACCATCAGGCAATCGGAGTGTGCGGTTTCTAGGGCCGACCTCTTCTCACTCACCCTTCCCTGGAGGAAGGCAGCATCGCTGCTTCCATAAATATGAAACTGTTGGTTGCTTGAACGGAACAGCTTGCTGCCTCCACACTGCTATCACAGAGGGCAGTATGACTTTAACTCCAGACCGAACCGTAATACGATTTCTCGCATTGCGGGGGATCGCTGTTCTTTATCGGGCTGACACCTGCTGAGCCTCCACAATGCTATCGCAGAGGGCGGTATGACTTTAACTACAGACCGAATCGTGATACGATTTCTCGTATTACGGGGGATAGCTGTTCTTTATCGGGCTGACACCTGCTGACATTAATGAACCTTAAGAAACTGAGTACCAGTCAGTGCGGCCGGAAAGATCGTCACAGCACTGAAGCTCGACAATCACAAGGTGATAGCTATGGTTCGGGACTAGGATAGAGGCTTAGGAAGGGGGCGAACAACCAGAATTAACGAGGCTACGAGTGCACCATCATCATCATCATCATTGTCAGCTGTAATAACCGCGTACTCGTCGTACAGTGGTTG